AGCTAAATTGAGATCAGAAATTTAACAGAAATATTATTTATATAAAAATTGTGGTTATCTTTTATTGTCACATGGCATTAACAAAAAGAAAACACCCTGGAGGTTATGTGGCACCTTGGATTCTAAAAAATTGTGTTTCAAGTATTTTCTGATATTTGATTTTTCAAAATTAACCCCCCAAAATCAACTTTTCATCAGAATGGCTTCTCTTCTGGTGTTGTGGCACTGTAAGTGGAAAATCGAAAGCAAGCTGGCTGGCCTCAGTGGAGCTGGAGTCTAAAGTCGTTTGAGAGGAATTCTTAGGTATAATAAATTTTAATGCTCCATTCAAATATTTTTCCAGAAAGTAGAAGCACTTGTGTTTTAACTTCAGTAAAGCTAGTGGCAGTTTGATTCATTTTGCCGTTGGTTTTCAGGACACTTAACTAAAGTGGAGGTCATTCTTCCACGTGCTGTGCTGGTATTCCAATGCTGAAAGGGTAGCAGGAAGTGTTGGAGAGGATGGGTGTCTGCCCAGAGACTGCTCTGGTAGTCTTGGTGAATGGTACAGGAGCTGGAAATGACGGGGAGGAACACCCATTATGGTAGAACACCAACAAAAGAATCTGCTCCTTCTAAACCTCCTTTTAATAAACAAAATCAGTGTTTAAACTTCAACAAAACTACAACTAATTTGAAAACCAAATGATTGTTGTTTTTAAAAATATCTGCCCACTTTCAAAGATTTCTCCAGTGGACGTTAGGAGCAGAGAGTGGACGAGGGCTTTAGAATGACCTTCCAGAACACTCACTGGTTGTCAAACATGGACAAAGATTAACGGGATCTCAGGCACAGCCTGCATACCCCGGTGCCTCAAAGGGTGTGAAATTATACACCCTAAGTGTCAATCTAAAAAATACCACATGTGTGATTTTGTCTCTAGCTTAGTCTTCATCAGAATATTGTTTTTGAAGCCAGGTGCAGTGGCCATACCTGTAATCCTAGTAGCTCGGGAGACTGAGGCGGGGGGATTGCAAGTTATAAAAGCCAGCCTCAGCAACTTAGCAAGACACTGTCTCAGAAAGGACTGGTGATGTATGACTCAGCAGTAAAGTGCCCTTAGACTCAATCTCTGTTAGAAAAAAATACACACACACACACACACACAGTTTTTGAGGTTTTTAACATTTTCCTCCAGGTAGTTTAAGTTTCCTGTGAGAAGAATGTGTGTAATGCTGCAGTCCAGATTAACTTTGTTCTTACTGATTCCACACTTGGTATAGGGAGTCAGTGAATGTTGGTGGACCATAGGGTGAAGGGTAGAGTGTTGATAAGTACTAGATCCCAAGTGGAAGTAACAAACTTGTAAGTCAGTGATTTAGTTTCTGTGTCTACCTCTTATGAACTTTAGCAAATTAAAACAAGTACCTTAGATTTAATAACCTACGTAAAATTGGAACTGTAAATATAGAGTATGAGGGTTTCTGAATTTGATACATTTTAACCAGAATCACTTTTTAACTATTAAAATACCACAATTGAAATATTGCTTCACTGAAGCATATGTGAAAATGAAAAGACCCAAGCTTTTGTTTTTAAATAAAGTGATTTGAGGGCTGTGGGTATGGCTCAGTGGTAGAGAACTTGCCTAGCATTCTTTGCACCTTGGGTTCAGTCCCCAGCACTGCAAACCATTTTTAAAATGTTTTGAGAATTATACACTTTAATTATTTATTCTAATGCTGACTTGGAAGCCTACATGGTGATATAGATGAGGAACTCAGGCCTAAAGGTGTCTCTCGATGCTTGCCATCGGCATTTGCCTGAATTCTCTTCAAGGATCTAGACTGTGCATGGAGTGTCAGTGGGACTGGGAGCAGTTGGTTTAACTTGAGGTCTTTTTCTCGGTAGTTAAGGTTTTGTGACAGATGTGGCAACTTTTTAAAAAGTGATCTTTGAATTGAATAGTGTGTGGAATGTGTCATTTTCCAAGAAACCCATTATTGAGAGTAGAGGGATAGTTACCAGGGTCATAAATTGGGAGATTATTCAGCAGGTGTGGCTGGCTAGCTGGCTGGCTGTTTTTTATATGGCCTGTAAACTAGGAATGTTTCTTGCTTTTTTAGGTTGGTTGAACAAAAATCAAGAGAATAATAATATTTTGTAACGAGATCATATGAAATTCAGATTTGAATGCCCACAAAGGCTTATAGAACATAGCCTTTCTTGTTGTCTGTGTGAGTGGTTTCTGAGAGGGCATGGCCTGCAGTTCCTAAAATATTTACTGTCCAGCCCTTTAAGAAGAAGTGCCACCCCTGGATCAGATGTTCCCTAGTGAGCATGTCTGTCATGTGCCGCCTGAGTGTGGAGAGCCAGCAAGGAGAGGTTTCTGATGTGGACAGAGAGGAGTGAGGTGGCTGCATAAGGAGCTTGCAGGCAGTGGGTGAAGGTGAGTAGGAGAGGAAGGGGGTGCCTGGCCAACATCAGGCGCTACACGTCCTGCTCAAGAAGAACGCGGACACTGTCAAGTTAGGCTGTTTGTTATACAGTCAGTCCCTGGTAACACAAGTCACTGTGTAGCTCAGGTCTTCTGCAGTCACTGGGAACAGAGGGAGAAAACTAATGTTCCCATTCCTGATAATGCCACATGGGCAGTGCCACCTAAACAGTGGGTAAATCAGTCTCCTCCGTTACTGTGTCCTGTCCTCTGTCACAGATGCTGTCTGTATAGTACACTTCTCTGGAAATTTTTTTTCAATCATCTCCCTTCCATGTTGTCTTCAGAACCCTAAATTGTGTGGAAAGCCATCAGAACCTTGGATGACTGGTGGTTGTGCTTGCTGGTGTGGCCCCCACGTGGCATGCACAGTGTGAGTTGGTTGTGATCCTCCTTTTGAGATCTTCCTTTAAAGTCTGGAAGACACTGCTGAGAGCCACCTGGAGGTTGTTGGCTCTGGCCTCAGGAGAGTGGTGAGCTGGTGTTGCCTGGTGCATGTGGCACCCTGGCTGCAGCGCTCCTAGCACTTGATGGTCTCCATATTGCTGTACCCTGTGTGTCTTAATTTTCTCCACCAAATTGGCCTTTATGATTGTGTCATTTAAAAGTGGTTGTTTGTTCTTTCCCATTCTGATCCATCAAGAAGTGCTCTTTACCATTGGCTGTGCTGTTGGTGGTTTTATTTTTCCTGTGGGAATGGCAGCTTTTTGTTTCTATACTCTGGGATTGGGATTCTGGAGAGTGAGACTATTGTTTATCTACAGGAACTGTTAATTTGTAAACCTCATGTTCTGCCTTTATCTTCAGATTTCTCAGAGTTTGAAAGTCTTCACATAGCAGTTTGTATTTCTCGACAGAGTAGACCTGTCTATACCATCTTCTCTGGTGTCCTGAGAATGAAGCCTGCAGTGGGTGAAAAGTACCACCTGTGCGTAGCAGTGCTCATGATGCTGCAGGAGGCTTCAGCAACAAGAGGACACTGGTTTGGGCCTGTGTGGTTAATGTAACTCACTCTGCCCAAATTTGGTTTTTCCTTTTTATTCATGTATCAAAGTTCAAATGTTGGGATGGATATTTATCAGGATTCACAGCCACAAGGTCCTAGATCAAATAAAAATGTTAAAGTTCCCAATAGTACCGAACACTGTTACCTTTGTTTTTTAAGAGAATTTTGTTCATTTCTGGAATTCTTAAGTCTTTTGTCTCTATATCTCATTAAATTGGGCTTAGCCTTCCTTCCAAATACATATTGCATTATTTTTTATATATCATGATTTTAAAGGTAGACATGTTCAGTGAGTATCCAGAAACATAGATTTTTACTTCTGAGGATGGAGCTTTGGTTGTGTGGCTGGAAATAGGAATACAAGGCTGTGATTGACCTTGAAAAGAAGAATATTTGTCTCTTAGGTTGTAGTTGTCTTTTTCAGATTTTTTCTTTTGTTACCTTCCTGGTCTCCCTAACCAGCAGCCTCAGGGTCCTGGACTGGCCGTTCAGTGGTGTAGGCTGAGGCGCTTGCTGGCGTTGCCTCGTCTCTTATATATATATGCAGCACAGCCAGGGAAATGGTGCCTTCTTTGTGGAGGATTTCACAGAGCCCTGTGTACTCTTTGTCTTTCAGGGGAATTTTAACATGGAGTTGCTTTTGTGCCCTCTGTTTAAATTTGGTGTCCAAACATTTACACACTCAGCCGTTTCTCTTGTGTGTTACTGAGAGTCTCCACTTAAATTGTGCCAGGTCTTCCTCCTCTAACATAGTGACTGCAGAAGACATGAGAGACCTTTACTTTAGTGTCATCAGTCAGGTGAAACATTGGTTCTTTGGAATGGCAAGAGTAGTCTCAGGATGAGTTCCTAGGACACTATGCAGAGTCTTTTCATAGGAAACATCTACTCAGATGCTGTAGAAATGCTGACATGTAGAACTCCTGCAAGTTTTCTTAAGACCACCCAAAACCAAAACTTTTTTGGGATGTTGAGTCTGGTGGCAGTTATTTTAACATCAGGGCATCCTTCTAAACTTCCACTTACAGTGTTGCATGCCAGCATAAAATCCAGCTTATTGCTGAACTGGGACTGTTCTTAGGAAGCCAGTTGGTGTGAATGCCATGGACAATTTTAGTACATGTTTGTTTGTTATGATTTTACAGAAGCTAAAGGATGGGTTATTAAAAATTAAGTGCAGATAATGTGTAGAATTCAGTTTCAGGTTGAGTCTGAAGTTAGCATAAATTTAGATTCTTCAGACTAACAAAGAATCTTGAGAAGTAATTAGGAAGATGACTTTTTTAAAAGTTTAGCATTAATTTTTTAAAAATTATTATCTCCCGAATATTGCTTAGAAATCAAATGTGTATAAGAGAAGTTAGTTATGGAGTTAGGATAGTTAACTGCTTTAATGAAGATTTGCTGTAAATTTGTTGGCTTTTTCATATCACCTTCAGATAGATAGTCAGTTCAGCAGGAGCAGAGACCAGGTTCAAATGCTAATGGGTGTAATTCAGTGTTTTTGTGTTGTGCAGCTTGAGAAATGCCAGTGGCCTGACAGCAGCAGACATTGCACAAACCCAGGGTTTCCAAGAGTGCACCCAGTTTCTCTTGAACCTCCAGAATTGTCACCTGAACCGTTTCTGTCATAATGGTGCCTTGAGTGGGGGCCATGAAAACGGATTTCCCAATCGTGTTAGTGTGGGAACAAATCGAAAGAGATGCTTAGAAGATTCGGAATCCTTGGGAGTGAAGAAAGCCAGAACTGGAGGTGAGACCATGTGGGCTGGGGAAAAGCAGGACTTTCCTTCCCGGGCGAGTATCTTGCATGGCAGAGCATACCTTGGAGAGGCACCTTCCTGCAAGGTGAGCCGTGCCTGGAGAGTTCTTGTGCAGGACGGTGACCACCACTGTGAAGATGTATCTCATGACAAGGGCAGGTGTGGGAGGGACATGTCACCTCACCTGTGAGTGTGTGCCTGCAGCTTCTGAGCACCCTGCCAGGAATTAGGAAGAATTTGGTCATCTGTTTTATCTGTTCAGAATATAACCACTAAAAAAAAAATGCCACCATACCTGATTTGTTTTTTCACTTCTTGGAAAATGTTTCTGAACTTATAATAATTGTAGATGATATGTCAAACATCTGTCACCACTGGCTTGGGGGATGTGACTTCGACTGGTTCTCATGCCCTGTGTGGTGTGTGAGTTCCTGTATTAGTTTTGGTGTCAGGTCTGAGGTAAGTTACTTCATTCTTCCCTGTTTTTTAAAGATGGATTTGGAGTTTACGTAGCAGTCACTGATCACTCTTTAACTTGAAAAGTCTTCCCTTCAATAGAGGAGAGACTGACTGTGCTTACGTATGAAATGTCTTTGACTGATGGCAGGAACACGCAGAGAACATGACAGAGAAGCAAGTGTGGAGTGAGTGACCACTGAAGTTACAGGCTCAGGTGGGACTTGCTGAGGATGATCTCAGCATCCTGCTCTTTGGTCTTAAAAATGCCAAACACCCAGTGCTGTCAGGCACCTGGGAAGTAGGAGATCTTGATCTTCTGTGCACGTGGCTTGGGGCAAGCCGTCCTCTTCTATCGCTGTGCCTCAGTTAACGTAATGAGTGCTTTAAGAGTACTTTTTTCCAATATTTGCACTTTGACTTAATGCCTGGTTAATGTTGTGAAATGGTAAAAATGTGGACCTTATTATGCCCTTGTGCATCAATTGTATGTGTGTTAGTTTAAATGTTCTTTATACTTTATTTCTCCCTCATCGCTGACAAGTCTAAAATCTGTTCAGTGATTTTAAAAAGATGTCCCTTAACATTCTAATCAGATTCTAAAACACCACATTTAGGGAGTTTAAAAACTATTCCAAAAGTTTTTAATGTAGGGATGGGGTTGTGGCTGAGTGGTAGAGCATTTGCCTAGCATATGTGAGGCCCTCAGCACCACATAAAAAAATGAGTAAACAAAGGTATTGTGTCCATCTATAACTAAAAAATAAAAATAAAAGAAAAAGTTTTTAGTGTCAGCTGAGTTGGCCAGTACGTCATTATCAAGTGTCCTAAAAGGTGTTTCCAAGGATCCCTTAGGTTTCGTGAATTTTACTGCAGCCAATCGAGTAGAATCAGACTGATTTTGTCCAGTGGTAGAGGTCCAGTTTGCACACCCCACAGTGCATGGTCCTCAGTCTGAGGGTGCTTGTGCAGAAGAGCATGTGGCTGGAGATGCATGTGTTTTCAAGATGACGGTCATGCACACCTGAAAAGTGCACTGTACTTCATGGAGCATGTTCCGTGATGGGTGCAGTTTCAGAGTGTCTCGATAACATCTTTGAGCCTCCGTGCGCTTTTCTGTGAGCTGCTTCCTGATGTCCATTCTCTCGCCATGGCTGGAGTGACTGTGACCTCACAGCTCCTTCGTGGTCTGGTCCTTTCTGCAGTTCAAGTCCTTGGACATGCCCTGCGTTTGCACATTGCTAGCACAGATGGGCTTTTCCAGCCTGCCCTGCCATTTGTTTCCTTTTTCCTACTGTCACATACTGTGTGAAATGTGGGGTCCTGGAGCTGATTCTTGATCATTAAAACAGTTTTTCCCACTATGCATGAAGTTGAATATATAATTATTTACATTCTTTGTTGTGTTTTTGGTTTGTAATTCAAAATAACAGCACTACTTCATATTCATAATTTCTAACATTTCGTTTTGATTTGCCGTTTAAGTGTGTATGAGCACAAGTTTTGCTCTCTATCTAAATTACTGGTTTTGATAAATCCCTATTCTCATGTCAGTAAATGTTTCATTTCCTCATGTAACATGCATAAAAAATCCTTTTGAGTAACTTCACATATAAAAATAATTAGAAGGGTTTAAGGGTTTTTTTCCTTTTGTTTAAAAACATATCTATAGGTGCCTGGAATACCTTGACTAAATAGATCATAGCTTTGACCTTATTAAGTAAACAGTTCTTCTGTCTTCCTACAACTCAGCCATCACATAGAATGATGTTTTTAGTTTGAAGTTTATTCAAATAAGCAATAATTCCATTTGGCTTGGTCTCTAAATGCATTCTTTAAGTTTGGGATCATGAGTCTGGCCCTACAGAAGGTAGTAGTTCTGCTTTCAGTAAACCACTGGGAAGTACTGCTCATTGCAGCAGTTTTCTCCTAGAAATAACGTGATACAAAGTATCTTAAATGGATAAAAATGACTAGGACTTTTTGAATTGAATATAAATGGAGGGCTGGGGATGTGGCTCAAGCTGTAGCGCGCTCGCTTGGCATGCATGCGGCCCCGGGTTCGATCCTCAGCACCACATACAAAGATGTTGTGTCTGCCAAAAATTAAAAAAATATATATTAAAAAAAATTAAAAATAAATAATAAATAAACCGTTGGAAACAACTTATACTAGGAAAGTTCATACTTTAAAATAACTTAAAGCCATTCAAGTCATATCAAAATGCAATTTGCTCAGAACAGAGGTGTTACTGGATAGACATGGGTGTATAAACCCTGGAGGGTGCAGTAAAGCTAAAGTTGATGAGAAGCTGGTCTTGAGAAGTGTTGGAGGGGGCCTCTTCCCCAGGATGGAATCCTGTTCTTTTGGGATAGTGATAGTGTGTGCATGGGGTGGTGTTTCCTCTTTCTTTCTGTCCTTTGGTCAGAAAGGAATGATAGGTGAACTTCAAGATTTCATGACTGCACCTGCTTTTAATAGTAAGTTTGGGTTTGTTGGTGTTCCTAGTTCATCTTCAGGAGTATCTCAGTACAGTGTTGGCATGTGTAGTCCTTGAAGACCATCCTGAACCTGCCAGTGCCCCTAGTAGGAAAGAATGCAGTTTTTTCCACAGGTGGACACTCGATCCTGTCGATTATTGTTTGTTTCTGCTGGTGGTCCAGATGGACACAGGAACTTCTTGTGCCATGATTGGTACCACCACAGCCCTGAGGAGTAGCCTATGGTGACAGCAGATCTCAGAAGTTGAACTGACTTCACAGTCATTCTAACCAAATAGCTATTGGCCTCAGATTCTCATTTGTGATATGTAGGTGTGTAATATAAATATATCTACAATGCTGTCACTGTAAATCAGCAGTGAAATTTCCCAGCATAGTTTTTTTTCCAGGATGAATTTAACACCAAGTATCTCCATTTTTCTGAGTTTGAGGGTTTTGTGTTTTGGGTTTGTTTGATTCTTCTGGTGGCCCCTGGGGATGAAACCAGGGCCTCGTGCCAGACAAACCTCTGCTCCTGAGCTACATCCCCAGCCATTTTTATTTCATATGGAGAAAAAGTTGTAAGGTTCCTAGGCTGGCCTCAAACTCCCATGTAGTTGGCGTTAGAATGTGTGCACTGCTAAGACTGGCCTATTTTTCTGTTTGTAATTGCTTTTGTTGAGCAGACTTGAAGAGTTCAAGTTTTAAGGGCAGTGTGACTAGCTAATTTGGTAAATACTAGGTGTTTGCTTATGTCTTAAAGATGAGATTCAAAGAAAACCCCAAAAATAAAATTTTAATTTAGCTCCCCTAATTCAGCCACATAAGATGCTTTAACTTCTTATGTCTCTGGTCTCCTAAAACCTATACTGAAAAACTGTTCATATTTGTTTTTAAAAATTTAGAGCAGCAGAACACCCCTCATTGTGTTAAGATGCTGTGAGCAGGCTATGCTACATTGAGACCACACAGCGTCTGGTTCCCATTGCTACCTATGCGCTCTGGTTGTTCTACAGTTTGGGACACTGATTTTCCTTCCTCAGTCTGACAGCACTACTGCCTCTGTCTCCTGGGTGCACTTCCCCGTCAGTGTCACCCTCCCGCCTCACATCATTCTCACCATCTGCCTGCTGGGATTCAGGCCATGGCAGGAGACCAAGTTCCACTAAAGGTCAATTGAGTACTGGTTTAACTAAGATCTTAGGAAATAAGTAGATAATCGAAGTCAGTCATTTCTAACGACGGGTGGCTGGTGGGAACCATGAAGGAGTGTTTTCCACTTGTTCCTTCCATGGGAAGTTGCATCCTCCCTGTGATCAGCATTCCCACTCACGTGCACTCTGCCATGGGAAGGCCACAGTGTGTAGGGCCACAGTGTGATGGGCGCCCTTATTAGGGTGGGAGCAGGGGGGATCTTCACATTCTTTTATCTGTAAGGTGTTTTTCTTAAAAATCCTGCTCTTCAGAAGTATGAAATTGCAAAAATGACCTCTAGTTGTCGTTTTATACAAGAAACATTTGACATCTGAACCTCAGACAGAACCAGGCGCCAAGTGCGAAGACGCTCAGCCTTGCTGGGTGTGTCCTGGGGGTGCGTCTGTTGAGGGAGCACGCTGGTCTGGCTGAGTGCCATGGAGTCAAGGAAATGAGCTGGAGGTAACAGCTACCCCAAGAGCCCCCTGAAGTGAGCAGAGCGTCCCCTGCACACAGGGCATCAGTGCTGCTACCTCCCCCAGTTTTAGGTTATTTTTATTTTTGTTACGCTAACATGTTTACTATTGATTTTGGAAAAGTGAGTACTGGTTTTTAGTGAGGTTGAGGATTGCCTTTGCTGATTTGGGGTGTGGAGGATTTAGGAACTCTTAGGGAGTAAAAGATGCTTTAGTGCCTTGGGTTTCAGATCACCTGTGTTTGAAAGAATGTGTTTGTCTTGTGCAGACTTTTACTTTATTTCCTAACTATACAACTTACTCTTTGTAGTTAGGAACCATGTTTCCCATTCTGTACATTAGCATCTTTGGGGAGTAATCCGCGATTGACACCTTGACAGTGATTGAGGTTTCTAAAATTAGAACTGACTAAAGCTACAGAGTTCAGTTCTCTATTTTCAAAAGTTTGAGAGAAATATTACACAGTAAGAGTTGTTATTTGTGTTGTGCATTCTTTGATCCAGAAATAATTCTGGATATTTATTCAGGAACCAGAAATGCAAACTAACCAGATGTGTTTATAAGGATGTTAACTCTGGTATTTGGAGGAAAGAAGAATGAAACCACCCAGACCTCAGGGAACTTTGGTTAGGTGGATCTTAAGTACACGTGAATGTGGCAAATTAAAGACCTTCTGAAATTAAGTTACGGTGGGATTCAAGCCACGGTGAATGCATAAACCAAGATATAACAGTGATTTTTAAGATCCTTCTGGCAAAAAAAAAAGACATTGTAACAGAGACATGAGTGTTGTCGAGTTTGGTGAATAGATGTGTACAGTGTTGCCTGTGGACATGACTAAATGTGTGCCTTTTCCACCGCTGGACACAGAGTGTGCATGTGTAGCTTTAGCTCTAGATTCCTTGGGACTCAAGATTTTTTAGTGTGTGTCTTCAATTTTTTTGTATTTTGGTCACAGATCAAAAGCCACTTGGACAGTGTGTTTAAGAATTATCCATTTCTTTTGAAAAATATTTTCTGAATTTGGGGAAAAAAATGTTTCAAATTATCTATAGGTTGTATGATCTCTGTTCTCTTAAGATCCCTAAATTAGTATTTTTGCCATCAAGTATAATTAGAAAATATATCTGGAATTGCATGACTTTAATTGAACTGCACACTTCAAGAAGTATTTTTTATTGTGGGAAATTAAATTAGTAGTCTTTACTTTTTTAATTACTTGAGAGTTCAAAAGCATTCATTGCTGATAAAAAGGGTTTTTGAAAATGTGTCTTAGTTTTATTGTGTGTTCAAAGGGTCTGAAGTCCTTGTTCTCTGTGCAGTTCCAAGCCTGGACTACGCCATGCCACTAATGAACGGCGAGACTGAAGACGACGCTGACAGAATGCACGTTGATAGAGAATTTTCTGCTGTAACAGGTGGGAGTGGACAGTTTCCTGTTGTCTGCAACAACAACCCAATGGTCGAAGATACCACACAACAAGAGAGTGGTTCTGTTGGACCAAAAGAAATAGAAATATATACTGTTTCAGCAATGCAAACCCCTTGTCGTTGCAAGAATCAGTATGCATATTATTTCTAACATAATTTTCTCTCAACCATTTTTGCACTGTGGTGTCCAGTATCTTTAAAAAATGTAATAATTTGCGCATCTTGGGCAAGTTTGTAGATACAAGGACAAGTGTTTGGTGCATTCTCTGGATATGAGAATACAAGTGCAATCTTCCGTTTTGATTTGAAGTTTTGCTTAATGTGCCTTGCTTATTTTTAATGAGGTTGCATTTTTAATTTTCTGACAACCTTTGGATGAACGTACCCATCATGCTATTGCCAGTCTTTTCAAGGCAATGTGTAGCCAGGAAGAGCTCACTGGGCACCTTGGGAACTGTTAACACTGTGGTGCTGACTTGTGACCCACTCATGCCATGGGGATCTTTGGTCCCATGGTCTTGGTTGCTTTGATGTCTGGCATTCCCTCTAAGTCTGTTGCAATGCTGAACATCATTTCACAAAACAGTTTATATGTTAAGATGTTTAACATTAAAACAGTTAATAGTCATATTTTTTATTTTTAAAGGGAAAAAAGCTCAATTTCTTCTAGCATTTGGAATTTCTGAAAGGATTTATCTATTTAGTGAACACTTGTTTCTGCCATTCTTTTATTTAGGTGACCACAAAAACGTTTTAGCCTTTCTCTTAATATGTTAATCAATTTAGAAATACTTTTTTAAAAGTTTCGTGAGTACATTTTTATGTTAAATTCTTCAGTGGGAAGAAAAAATCATGTATTTTGTTTCCCAGACCCACGTGGAAAATATCATTTCTATTCACCAAAATGCAAGGAAATACATTATCTCTAGAAGCCACCGAATTGTTATGGGTAGCTTCACTTTTTTGCCAAATAATTAAACGAAACGGGTAGATTTGCCATGGGCAAATCTGATCATTGGATAGCACATTTTAAATAGTACATTTTCTGTAGTCAGGGGCTATTTGGCCTTGGCTAAAGATAAACAAGACTCAAAGCCTGCTTTTAAGAAAAGCGGACTGTGCTATGTGCTTTTGAGTGGGCAGGATAATTGTTCTGCCTTCTCCCCACATGACTTCCAGTCCTTTCGTGTGAAGCTGGTGGCTGGCTTCACATCTGGCCCTGTGCACTCCCACGTCAGATGCCGTAGGCCTTCCTGTGCTTTCCACTGTGGCCTTAGAACACTGTCTGAGGAAACAAACTTACAAATCACTAGAGATTACTTGCATTTTTCTTAGGTGAAACAGCTTTTCTTGTCCACTGAACGTTTACAGGAACTGCCGCCTCTGTCCATTAGGACGTCACAGGAGTCAGGCTGCTTTCCCCTGAGTACTTCCAAGTATTGTTCTTTGTTCTTATAGGATCATTTTCAAGGACAGTGCATATTTGAAAAGCTGCTCAAATGTTGCCTTTACATTTTGAATGCCCCTCATTCAAGACCTCAAGCAGGGTCCATAGCCCTCCCTTCTCTAAAGAACCATGGCTTTCTCTGGGACTGCTGGACTTGGGGCAGGATGTATCATAGGCTTTGTCCCCAGGCTGTTCACAGCTGCCCACTCCCTGTGGAGTGGGTGTGGATGTTGGTGGCACCTGTGGGGAGCTGGACATGTGGTGGGACAGAGGCTGTTGAAGTGCCGCGGGAGCTGAGCCAGGGAGTGTTGCAGCAACCGCCTGCCCAGGCTCCCTCACAGTCTCCAGAGCAAGATGAGGTCTGAGCACTTCAGAAAGCTTCAGCTTACTTTATTTCAGTAAAAAACTATATACACAGTAGACTGGTAACTGTCCAGTGTTGCCATCGTATCTATGAGTTTCATTATGTCAGGTGATTTAATACTTTTATTTTTTGAAAAAAAATTGATATAAAATTTGCCCTGGAAATAACCTAATTTCTTTTTATTTATATTTAGTCCTTTAGACACTGCTCTCTAGTTTTCAGTTTTAACTAAATAGAAAAGCTAGTATTTAGTTTGAGAAGAAAAAAAGATCCATTGTCCCTGAAGAGTTAATAGCAATTAAGCCAATTGTTGATTAAATCACAAAAAAAAATTTTGATGATTGTGGAATGTTTAGAAGATGTCTTGTTCATTGAACCAGAAACAATCCTGTCTTGGCCAGAAGACAGGCAGGACACAGAGTCCCCCTTGGGTCTGATAGTAAAAGAGAAAGGAGGCCCTTCATGGTAAGAGTGGCACAGTGTGTGGCGCGCTAGGGTATTTGGATTGTTTAGAACGAGTCCTTATTCTGAGCGTTACTAGGACTGAGCTCTTCTGTATCTATTGCTCCTCCGTTGATAGCCAGGACTTCAAGGTGAGATTATCATCAAGCAAGAGGTGATCTTAGAGCATTCTCTGTAGTGCTCTGTGAGTTCCTGAAAACCGGGATATTCTCAGATTCTAATACACAGAGAAATGATTTGTGATTGATTGTCTATTCAACGTGCCCAAGCGTTTTGTGATGGACTTTACATCCATGGGACGTGGCCTTCCTACTGGGTGTTAGTATATGCAGGTTAAACTGTCAGCATTTTTTTTCCCAGCATAAGTGGTTTTTGAAAATGACCTAACACCATGAAACCCCAGCCCTCATGGTCATTTTAATTGCTGGATTTGAAGAGACTCCTCAGAACTGTGCTCCTAGCCCACTGCCATGCGAGAGCGTCCCTGGCTGTGCAGCCTCTCTCTGCCTGTGCTTGCCGTTCTGCTGGTGCTCTTTCCCAGAGGTCCTTGTGGATTTGAGCATCACAAAGGAAAGCTAGCTCCTCCTCCTGTCCTGTGGTATTTTGTACGTGGTTGGAGCATTCCTAATTCACCTGTTTCCTTCCCCCACCTCCTCCTAAGAAATAGAGAAGTTTTAACTTTGTGAAAAACTTTACAGTTTTCAGTTCTGATGGACCTTTTCAGGGGCTGTTTTTAAAACTGCTCTTCAAAAGTAGTTCTAAAATAAGATTTTTTGAGTTTCTTCCTACTTTTGGTATTCTGCGTGCTGTGTTTGTCAGCCTGTGTTTCTAAACTTGACTGCCCAATGATGCTGAGTGCATCGTTTTCCTATCTTGCCAGGCAGATACTGCTCCCGTGTTTTGTTTGTAAACATACCTGTTCATTTTTTTCATTTTAATTTTTGAAAAGGAGCTGGTTTGTCTAAAAGAAGCAAAAGAAAAGAAACTAAATCCCTTACAATTGTGGCAGCAATGAAGCGTTTTTATAGTGTCTCCCACCCTGTTCTGAATTTTGGTGACAGGTGTATTTCTTAATGCAGATATGAAAAACAGTAGCTCCGTATCGAATACATTGACAAATGGATGTGTCATCAATGGACATTTGGATTTCCCCTGCGTGGCCCCGCTCAATGGGATGGAAAGCAGGAATGACCCGGGCTTGACAGGACCTAATGGAATTAGCAATGGATTAGTGGGTTCTGTCTGTGTTAATGGGACTGAGGAGCCAGAAAAGACCATGAGTGTTAACCCTGAGATGTGTGGTTCTCTGCACCTGAATGGAAGCCCCAGTAGCTGCGTGGCCAGCAGGCCCTCCTGGGTGGAGGACATTGGGGAGAACTTGCAGTATGGACATTACCACGGTTTTGGGGACACTGCCGAGAGCATCCCTGAGCTGAGCAGCGTGGTCGAGCACTCCAGCTGCGTGCGGGTGGAGCAGCGGTATGACAGCGCCGTCCTTGGTGCCATGTACCTGCACCACGGCTCCTGAGGACAAGAGACTGGCCACCTCCCCGACAGCTAACTCATAGCACCATGGCAGCACCGACTTGGAGGGTCTCCCCCGTCCTGCTTTTGTACTTGAACTCTGAGAAAGTAGACTCCTGCCCGAGCAGCTCCCAGTGAGTGAGTGGTGCCTGAGCAGGCTTCCTGTGCCCAGAGGTGTCCCTGGCAGGGTATTCATCCTTTTAGAAGATTCTCTTTTGCAGTTTGGTTTTTCTGATGCCGGTGTCTACTTGATTTTTTAATACTGTCACCAGAAATTGCCATTTTCCTTTTTGTAAGTTGTATCTGATCACAATAAGGGGGCAGTGATCGAGATGCCTGGCGAGTTACCTCTTACACTTGGGCATCGTTTTGAGGACCTCCTTGCTCTCTCTGTAAGGTCCTGACCATGCAGCCTCACAGAGATTCCGGTCGGGATTGTACGAAGAAAAGAGCGTTTGTCTCTTTCAGAGTCTTCTCACTGCAACTGCCACAGGGTGGGGGTTTTAGTGTGGCGCACAATGGCTTCGTGATGCAGCCTACTGCCCTGGGTTCCATTAGAACAGGCCCAGCCTGGGGCGGATTCTGACTGTTTCTACTCCACATTTCCTACTTGCTCTCTAGGATTTGTACCACATATAATGGTTTCCTTTATACGTAGTGGATATTACTATTTGTAGGAACTGTCAGATCAAAATATTTAACTACTTTTACTTTTTTTTTTCCCCTTTTTGTTTTTTGAGATTTCCTGTTTTAAAATATATATATATATATATATATTCACATATATCACTATGTATATCCAGTTAATTGAGAGAATTTTGAATCTCTTAATAAAACTTCATTAAGTTTATGGTTTTGTAGAAATTAGCTTTTGTTTAGGCAAAATTAGTGGTTACACTGCAAATATTGTAATGAATTTTTACTTTTTGGATTTTTTTGTAATAACAATTGGTGCAGATGGAGAAAATGTCACATGAGCAAACCAGTGTTGTAAGAGTGTACTAACATTTGTTTTAAAACTGTTCTCTACAAATTGAGTAAAACACTCTCACGGTCACTTTGTTCCTAGGTGTACTTTCTCGCCGGGCAGGTGGAGTTGGCAGGGAGGAGCGAGAGGGAGGGAGGGGGGAGTTTGGTGTTGTGTTTTATTTTTCTGGTGAGATTTTACTTTATTCTCATGATCTCCATTGTATTTTTAAAATGCTTTTGCTTTGTTAAAATCTAGTTTTAGCCAGGCTCGATGGCACACACCTGTAATCCCAGCAACTTGTGAGGCTGAGACAGGAGGATGGCGAGTTCAAAGCCAGCCTCAGCAAAAGTGAGGAGCTAAGCAACTCAGATCCTATTTCTAAATAAAATACAAAATAGGGCTGAGGATGGGGATCAGTGGCCAAGTGCCTCTGGGTTCAATCCCTGGTACATCCCCCACACACACACCCCAAATCCTCTAGTTTGGGGGCTGGGAATCAAAAACTTCTAGTTTTGTGGCACTTGTTCTCACTCTATTGTAGGGGAGTATAAATTGCGTGCCACCTAATATCCTTGTCTTCGGGTGCTTATTTTCATAAGAGATCGGTAACATAATTTTCCAGACTTTGGTTTCGGCAGATATTAAAACGAATGTAGACGCTTTAAGAATGTGTGAATTGTAGTGGCATCACATGTGACCTGACTGTCGCAGACCCACTGGTGAACACCAACAGGAAGAGCAGGAGGCTGTGGAGCGCAGCAGCCAGCAGGTGTCAAGCACAGAAGCCAAGTTGGGCGTCAGAAACTCTGGCAGACCCCAGAAGCTACCCAATTGCTCTGCGTCTTTAAAGGATATTAAACTTGACGCCATCCCCTGCTTGGACTATTCTTTGAAGTATTTCAGAGACCTCATGCTGAGAAATAATTTAGTGAACCTCATGAACTTCTGGACTGTTAAACGGAATGTGACTGGGAGCAGAAACTGCCCAGCTCCTTTGGGGAGCAGCACCCACACTCAGCAGATGGTTGGTGCAGTCTGGTTCAGAGCCAGCTTTGCTAGGGCATGGAGCTCTTGTTGGGGGATACCAGGGGCATTGTGATGGTGTCGTGGGTTTGCTTCACAGTACTACAGGGGGAAACGGTAGAGACAGATCAGGAGGGGTATGAACTGGCACTGGGGCTGGGTGGTAGGCACATGAGTTTTCACTTTGTATTCGGGAAGTTTTTGTTTCTAATGAGCACTCTAAGGAGAAAAAGAATGCTTTAGAAAATTGTGGGTGTCGTTTTGATATTGGCCAGGTGTAGGTTTGGATTTTACTAAACCTAAGTCGCCAAAAGTAAGTTTGGTTACTTAGGTTTAGTAAAACCTAAGTAACTACTAAACCTAAAAACTATTTAGGTTTAGAACCAGAGTGGTTCGTTGGTTCACAGCCTTTTTGGCATGAAGACCCTTTCTTATGCTTGTGTTCCTATATGTTTGTCACAAACAATTAGAAAAAAAATTAAGTTCATTTACAGTAGCACCAAAACGATGAAACCTTGGGCTGTTTCTTAGATGTTCAAGTCCTCTACACTGAAAACCAGAGACACTGCCAGGAGAAAGAAGCCCCAGATAAAGGTTTAATAGATTTACAGAGGAAATCTTCACATACACACATAACTGGAACAGACAGTGGTAATAGCATTTGTAGCTGACTTTGGTGTTTGGTGATTTCTTAAAGCTTCATTGCAACATTGAATCAAACATTGAATCAAAATCCACATCAGTGAACTAATGGTCTTCACTTAATTAAAGTCCGTTTGCCGTGTACTCAAGAGTGGACTTCCAGCCCATGCCTTTGTTTGTTTGTAGGGTTGGGGGGGTACTCGACCACTGAGCCAGATCCCCAGCCCTATTTTGTATTTTATTTAGAGACAGGATCTCACTGAGTTGCTTAATGCCTTGCTTTTGCTAAGGCTGGCTTTGAACTTACAAGCTTCCTGTCAATCTCAGGAGCTGCTGGGATTGCACACATGAGCCACCACACCTGGCCACCATGCCTCGTTAATAACATTCTGCATTGGTTATTTGGAAAGTATTGTTTTAATTGAGTTTGCAGATTTTCAAGTGTTGAAATTTTTTATTATTATCACATAAATATCACTAATGGTCTCATACAAGTCACAAGTGGGAAGCTGACTCATAGTGGTACACATTTTATAACTGAAATTTTTGCTGGAAAGCTAAAATTCTCTTGGCCACAAATGTCAGCTGTCTTTCTCTGAGTGGCAGGCTCTTGGTTAATCATGTCTGCCAAGTACCCAGGTCTTCCTCGCCATCACCTGCCATTCACATTTGCAAAGAAAGGTCTGTCCAGGCCACAGGCGAGGGCCAGAAGTCTTGGTCATAACACTGGCAGTGCTCCTGGAGAAGGGGCCCACCGACCTTCATCACACAAGTTCTCAGCCGAAGGTAAGCTTTTCACACCGCACAAACAGCGCTCCTAAGTAATTAACTTTTCTCTTTAACTCAGGGCCTAGCAGTGAGAAGTGACCATGAGGCCAGCCCGAGGCGGCCCCCGGGCTGTGTGGGATGAGGAGGAAGATGAGTCAGCCGGGGCGAGGGTAGGAGCAAGCGGCTCTCAGCCCTAGGGAAAAGTAGCTAAAGCTGACCAGGGCTTCCAGGTGCCCCTGTGTGGACGTCTCAGGGGTATCCCCCACCCCATCTGTGGCCAGCCCTATTCCAGGCACCTAGCTCTGGGGTAGATGAGGTTGGCAAGGACAGAGGCGAGTGGAATCAGAACTGGAGATAGGGAGGTCAGTGGAAAGAGACGACCTGTTCACACAGTTCCTCTTCACACTGCATTGGAGCGGCCAGTCCTCCAGGGAAGCAGTGAATTGTCCCGGGCATGCAGGGTGCTAGGGTGTCTTTATTTTTTGCTCCAAACAATGGTTTTGCTTAAATGTTTTGGAGGGTGGGCAAGAAAGTCTGGGTCATCCTCGAGGTCACCCTGCACCGTCACTGGATGGTTCTGGCTCAGAGCCCCATGTCTGGATAGTGACCAAAGGTAAGAACAACACTGGGTGCAGCGGATACTGAGGGGCAGGTGTGTGGGAGGCTGAGGAGGCCTGGAGGAGCGGCAGAGAGCTGTCCCCTGGGTCAGACAAACCACAGCGATCAAAAGAGGGAAGTTTGATATGGTGACCAAACTACACTGGTGGATGCACGAGGCCTTGGAGAGAGGACACCTGGAGCAGAGTCCCTTGTCCAGGCCACAGGCGAGGACCCTGGACGGCCAGGGCCCAGGTGAGCAGGGACATGCCTCTGGGGGGACCCAGGCACAGCACTGGGCTGTGACCTGAGTGCAGTGGGGCACACCAGGGCCGCAACACCCCCAGGTCAGATCACACACCTGGCAACAACTAGGATTGGTGAGAGAGGACGTCCCACCCAGCAGCCCTGGCGCCGCAGCACCTCTGTGAGGGGACTCTGGGCATGCAGCCACTGCCACAGTAAGGGCAGGGTGCTTGGATCTGGAACAAGGAGAGCTGGTGACTGACAGCGTCCGTCCTGGCCTGTGCCTGGAAGGAGAGGTAATCAGAGGAAGTTGGGGGGGACTCTCCTGAGGCCACCCAGCTCCCATGCTAATGAGTCCTAGTGTGTTGTGTGTTTTGAGCCTGGGTTTTCACTCATGCTTGGTGGTGTCCAGGCACCAGAGGTTCCTGTGGAGGAAGTCCCAGCAGCCCTTCGGGATTCACAGGCTTAGAGGTCAGAGCAGCCTCACCAAGTCCTGAGACCGTGAGGCCTGGAGGCCCCTGGGGGGCTCTGGGCTGATCCTAGCAGATGGGCTTGTTCACATCAGGCACAGATGAGAACAGCTGCATGGCACAGTGACCGTGATTGGACCAGCCAGCCTCCCCGGGCTGCCCAGGGTCTGTACGACAGGAAGACACACACCCCGAGACCAGCAATCCCATGCTGGAACTCAGGAAGCACTGTGTGCCCAGCAGTTAGGGCATGGGGTGAGTTGCCCAACACTTAAGACTTATCCAGAAGCATCAGTGCAGCATTGCTGGGTGCAGGGTTCATGGGTGCTCAGGAGGCTATGAGGAGGGTCTCTGCCACCTCTGAGCAGGATTGGCCCCCCAAGGGCCTCTCCAGCCGGTGCAGAACAGGGGAGACCCCCCAGGCGAAGCTGCCCCCCAGTAAGTGGCCTCAGCTGCTTCTGTTGGGCTCCTGGGGTCCCCGAGGGCTCCTCAGGTCCCTCAGCCTCCCTGAGGTAATGAGGCGCACAGCAGTGAAACCTAGCTGGCACCAGGAGGTGGGGGAGTGAACCTGGGAACTGCCAGTGCAGGGCCGCCTCAGGTGGGGCTCAAGAGGCTTTGGTTTCACCTCTTTGCTTTTTTAAAGAAGAACTGAAACCTTTTACATATAAAAAAAAAAGTTAAGCACAGAACAAGCAAGTTGGAACAGCCCTGCTTGGTTTCTCAAGGCCGCTCCGAAGCCTCCGGCCTCTGCAGGGCTACGCCAGGTGTCTTCCAGAGGGACCTCTCGCTGGCGCTTCACCATCCATGTCTGTGGCACACTCTTGCCCTGAATGATAGTCCGCACAGCTCCTGTGTGCCGAAGAGGCGCCGCTCCCTTGCCAGCTTTTCACTGGCCTCCCTATGCTGGGGGGTTTTTCTGACAAGAATTCAAGATAACTGAAGCCAGTTTGCCAGTGAAACAACATGAACCTGTGCCTCAAATAGCACAGTAATTCTCCAGTACGTAACAAGTGACACTATTTCCTCATCTCCAGAGCCTGGGGGTTGCATCCAGGTGGGATTTCTGTTTTCACAGCTTGTTGGGGCAAGGTCTGCTGAGCTCAGCCCTGTGGAAGGCCCCCCTGCTCTGGAGACTTTCCCGGTGGGGTGCTCCTGAGACCCATGGAGCCTGCACTGGGCAGGGTGGTGCTGCTGTGCTGCCCCAAGGCCTCAGGCCGAGGCAGCAGAGAGAAAGAGTGCCTGCAAGGAGAGCTGGCCAGAGGCACCCGGCGGCCCGCCTGCAGGAGCTGTACCCGCGTGACCCTCCCGCAGCCGCACTGGGCAGGACATGCTTTCTTTTCC